TTCTTAGAGTATTTTCTTCTAGATTGGGATCTTTTCTTGCCAACCCTAGACTAAATGGTAAATGGTAAATGGTAAATAGATCAAGCCCGTGGGACCCAAAGGGTCAAAAGGCTAAAAAACACAAACTAGGATCTTTTTTTCTCATGGGCCATATACTAAGATCTCGCAGTTTGAGTTTCAACATTCTGCAAATTAAGTTTTGCAACATTTGGCATTGGAATATAAACTACGCTTTGATCTTTACAGTATAATCTTTATTGATGTGGTCACTCTTGCCACATTTCCAACAAGCCGTTGTCTTCTTTTCAAGGAAACTACTCTTGGATTGAACTCTCTTCTTCGCATGGATAGTCCTCCTAAATCTAGATCTCATCGTTTTGGATTCAACATTTCTCCAACTGTTGCCAATCCTCGAACACGATTGATCATGGATCACAATCAATGTTGCCTCAGAAGTAGACATGTTTATTTTCATAAAGATGTTGTTCTTGGCGATTTTCTCCTTGTGGACTATATGGTAGCTTTTAAAATAATTTCTCATGTACTAGTCTCTTCAAGATTTTCCGATGATACCAAAATATTCTATGGAAGATTTTGTCAAAAAGAATATTATGAATGGAATATTCTGTCAGATAAAATATTTCTTATTTCCAAAAGACGGAATATTTGAACAGAATATTTTGGCAAATGCTCACATCTGACCATTATTGCTGAAATTTAGGTATTTTCCTCATACTCATGTCTCAAACACACTCTCATATATTCTCTCCATTAATCACTCAACTTTACACACACATCGACAATTATAGATACTAAAATACTCACTCTTTAATTGATAAAATAAGTCTATTCACATTAATTTTTTGAACTTGCTTTAAAATCTCTTCACCATCTCTCTATATATATTACTTGAGAACTTACAATAGCAACAAATTATAATATTTATCTAACTTGTTTTTTTCAAAGTAAATTATAGTAGATTTGACTGATATTCAATACGTGGCAACATGCCACTAGACTCCTATACTTCCTAAACCTTCTAGATAATCTCTAGATTGACGTGACGACATGTCATTTGAGCTTTTTAAACTTCTAGAACCTTCACTTGCCACTAAGACAACATTAGATTTAATGAATCAATGAAGTCTTCATTACTTAATCAAATTAATCAAAACTAATCATGTAGTCAAAGTCTTCCATCCTTAGAATCTAAAGCTTTGTACAAGACAAAATTGAAGTGTTCACTCAAATTTTCTACAATTTTCCTAATTATTCCGCCAAATATAGATGATATAGCTAAATTTTGTCATCACTAGATACACTTACTTATAATTAGCTAGACTTAGTCTACATATGATCAACTCCTTGGCCATTAATAATATTATTTTACACATACAACATCTAGTTTTACATTTACCCCCGAACCAAGATTTTATAATTTACTTCAAGTGAAAGAGTATGATCTTCAATGAAACAGTTTCAACTTGTCGTGATTGACTCGATCAAAGTGACTTGATATCATAAATGAAATTTTCTCACACCTTCTAAACTATGCAAGGTCCAAAGTACTTAGGAAGAAACTTTCACCTGTGTGTTTTTTTGCGCAAACGTGTCTATGACACGTTTGCGTGTGAAAGCCTTCACTTGTCGATTCGATTGAATTCTTCACTTGACTGACCCAATTTGCAACCTTCTTGTTACCTCAGGTAATTTCAATTCCAATTTTGGCTATCAAAAGAAAACAAAATGTTGTCAAATTTGATATGGCGATCATTAGCTCGTAGTGTCTGCAATCACGAGGAGGAGAATGATACTTGGATCCGTGTATGTGACCAGGAAATTTCCTCTACTTGAATTTTAATTTAAAGTGGTGAAAAGAGGGTTGGAAGTGTGTGCTCAAGGAATGTTTTTCATTCGAATTTGGGTTTGAAGACTTGTGATTGACGTGAAGGTTGTGGCTTGAAGGATGACCGAGTGAATGTCGAGAGCTATGATGTGGGTGTGGGTGCTGATAAGCATGTTGTTGAGATGCGGGGAAGCGTTCAACAGCGTGTTGCTGGAAGATTCCTATCCATCGCCGAAGGAGGATATGGTGGATAGACTGTTCTTGCTGAAGATGCAGAGCAACTGCAATTTGGACTTGTACGCGAACAAGATGAGGCCCGTGTGGGCCATTGACACCATGAACCAATGCTCGGACTGCTACTTCTAGGTGCAGGCTGACAAATCTCTTATCTCTCCCTCTTGGTCTAAAGCTCTCAAACTTTCCTTTGACATACTTCAAAGTCGTTGCTCGCTCTCGATGACAAGCTCACTCTTGGCGCAGTTGGATCCACAACACATGCATTCTAGTTCAATTGCCATCTATAGAGTAAGATTCGTTTCGTCTGTATAGCTCTGAGTTTCTAAACTCTTTGATTTTGAACTGGGAATCTTAAGCTCCAATATCACTTTTCAGAGGTATTTTCCAATACATAGAGAAAAGTGTACCCAGTGCCAGCCGACTAGAAAAGACTAAGAATAGCAGGTTTCCTCAAACAATGAGTTAACCCCAGCACAAGCCTCACACCTCAAGGTCTTTTTGCAATAATCAAGCTAAGCAAGCCAAGTATGGAATCCCAAGCAGCGCAACAGCATCACCAATCACATCTATGATTCTGAGGTTTCAATCATCTCTCTAATACCATTTGTCAAGGTATTCACCAAGAAACTAAGAAGTAATATAACAGTAAAACACAGACAATAGAAACAACGAGAATCAACAGTAGAAACAACACGAGCACTAAAAAAATACGTTGTTCATCCTATCTGGGCTAAGTCCACTAGAAAAGGAAACACGTTGTATAATAATGAGCATGCGGGGATGGTTAACAGAAGTTTATATCCCCCATTAAAACAGTTAACTAAGAATGGAGTGCTAACAAGGTTACTAAAAAGTCCGAGTTAACCTCAATAGCTATTAATAGAATTTTATATGTTTTTTATTCATTTCTTTTTTGATTTTTAACTTTTACGTTTTAAAAATTTATAAAAAATTTGTTTTATATTTCATCTGTAATTTGGTTTTGACAATTCAACTCTGATTCTTTGAAATCAACATTTTGGTACTTTTTTTCTCCGTATTGCCATTATAATTTTGACATTTTGGCCCATTATATTCAAATTTTGAAACTTTCTATCATCAATTTATTTTTTGACTTTGAAAATTTTTTTGACACTTGAACTTTCAATGCTGATGTAATTTGACTTGAACATTTTAGCTTTAACATATTTGCTCTTCTCCATTTCCGTAATATGGCACATGTGTAATTTGATATCTATTTTTTGATGCTTTGATACTTATATGGTTTCTTCAACTCATTTTTACTTTGAGTTTTTTTCTTTTTTACTTTGAGTTTGGTTTTTGATATTTTTTATTTGACATTTAACATACTTTGAATTTATCAGTTCTGTTCTTTGGCTTGAAGAATCTAATACACGAGCATACAACGGTAAATTTGTTTGTAACTTGATCTTATTACTTTCTTATTTTGGTTTTTGTACTTCAAGTTTTAATTTTCAGCATTTGAAGTCATCAATATTTTGATTATTTCATCTTTGAATTACAAATCGTTTTTATTTGTGCGTTTTGACTTTCTTGCTCAGATATGTTGTATCAACTTTAGAAATAGAATGTTGTATCAATTTTAAATTATTTTTTTTCTTTGAAGAATTAATCAAAGGCATCGACGTTTATCTGCGTTGTATATATTTCACAACAATACTCAAAAGATTGTACTATTGCAATTCTTTTCTTTTGGAAATTCTTAATGATTTTCAAGATTTCTTCGCAGATTTCATCTTGCATATAAAGCAACGCTGTAAAGCTTGTTAATCATGATTTGTTAGAGTATCTGATTACATTTTTCTCTTGACAAAGATGAGTGACAGAAAAGGAAGAAACCGGGACTATGATAGAAATTAGAAACTTAATTTGGAATGAAGCTGCGAAAATTCTAGCCCATAAACAGAGGTTTATTTTCAGCATTAGGCTTATTTTCCAACTATTAAAATATCACATATCTATGTTTCAGAGCAGATTTAAGCTTCGAGACTTCATTTACTCTCTCAGTCTTTAGATTACCCATTCCCATGCATTACTTGCTTGGAACTAGCAGCGGGGGATCCTTAGTCGCATCACACACCGGGCTCTGCCCCCGAGGTACGTTCAGCATGCAGATTTGGACACTGTAAAAGACCACTGCCAGACAACTGTGCCACCAACCAAGCGCATGCGAGAGCCCGTAAGTGTATGAGCAACTGTTGTGGCGTACTCATCCTTTCTAGTCCATCTTTGTCATCGTCAGTCATCGCGGAGTATTTATGGGGAACGATACATTTGCGAGTAGCTAAATTCGGTCATAGACGTGGTAGACGTGGTGGAATAGTCGTCTATCTAAAGAACATCTTTGTCCTCGTTCATTGGGATGACGGCTGTACGGAGTTACGGAGACATCGTTGACGCCCCGGGTGTCAGATCGCACCAGTAATATACCAACATGGTTCAGAACTGGCGCTTAACTTGGATCCATGTTCCTCTTGTGCAAACACGGTGCCTGCATGGTCCTTGCACTTTGGGGTATGTGAACTAAACTTAGGTGGGAGTCAGGACTATTCCAATGCGCATGACCATTCCGATCGTGTGCAGGAACATTGCGTAACGACGTCTGTGACGTAAACCTTTTCTCGCGCTCAATAAGCGTGTGGATGTTTATTGGGGGGCTCGAGTCTCCGGCTGGGCACACTCCAATCAGGGTGCCATACGTCCGAGCAGCCTCAGTATGACATGTGGCTTGGGACTCATTGAATACGATTGATTAGCGATTCACATAAAACAATAGTAGCAGTTTCCTTCCAAGCAGTAGAATTCAAGGACGTGAAGACTGATTTCTCCATGATTGCAATATGCTGCAAACCACCGAAAGATTAGCCCATGACGGGAATGTCGAATCTGCAAAGTGGCAACTTAAAGTTACTGCAGAATGACTCCTATCAACAACTTCACTAGTAACTGAACCCTCAAGCAAGCACCGAAAGTTGGTGATTGCTCAGTGGAAGTCCAGTAGAAATGTGAGTTGCTTCACAACAGAAGGGTGAGAAGTCGGCTAGAAAATCAAATAAGTTCAAATAGAAGCCTGATTTCTGAAGCCTGGGGCTTCTCCAAGACTGCTTGATCCTGGTGTTATCGATTTTGATGAATGAATGTATCGCGCTTTGCGCGACTTAACAATGTAGGAACGTAAAGGCACGCGTCGCTATGGCCCAGACCTTTCGACAGTCAGTGAACTACTCTACATTAATCTAATGTAATGGAATGTGATCTACCTATAGCATCACCTAAACTAGAAGCGTGCACGCCTTGGTCGTATCAATTTAGAAAAAATCGACCGACGACTCAGAACTCTATGAACACCATCTGATCTCAGTTTTGATTCGCTAACGATTTGTATCATCTGCGTCCCACATGTTTCGCCGTCACCTACATCAATTGGAACGGCTCACTATCTCCAAGACAAGCTTCGATGAACTGCCACTTCTCGCTCGCATCCGCAGCACATGCCTGAAAGAGGTCCGCAGTGACGCACTGAATCTGTACGAGCTGATTCAGAATCCAGTGCACAGGCAGGAGCTGTCCGTGTCAGGACCTACATTCCTCGCGTCATCCAATCATGAGCGGAGGAGACGAACAGTGATCGGAATCCGAACAAGGATGGGAGAAGAGGAAACGGGAGGAGGACGAGGGACAGAATGTCTCACAGCCGCAATCCCGAGATCAGCAGGGGGCAGCAGCTACGAGATCTGCACCCAGACGGCGCGACTCGGAAGGCCATTGTTGTTGGCGAAGAGCATGTAGTACGACGGAGGCGCGACCGTCGCGCGGGGAGGAGCCGTCACGGTGATCCTGTACTGCTGGGCCACGCCGGTCGCCACGGGCGGCGTGACGCCGAGCTTCAGCAGTCGCTGGCCTTGGGCGAACGAGTGCGTGGTGAAAGGGCACGAGACCAGGTTCAGATTCACGACCGTGCCGTTGCTCGGGGCGGTGGCCAATCCGATGACCACTGCGAAGGTCTGCCCGTACCGGACCTGGTGCGGGTACGAGATGAATCTCGGCCGGCGGGAGCTGTAAACGGCCGCTGTGTAGGGAGGAGAGAAGGCCTCCACGCGGAGCTCGGTCGGGAAAGCGCCCGTGAATGTGTAGAACTGGTGCGTGTTGCTGCCGGCGACGAGAACTCGGCCGTCGGGAATGAGAACGGCCGTGGCGTGGTACATGCGGGGGATTGTGGACGCGCGGTATGTAAGGAAGCGAGCCCCTGGGGCGTTGCCCGGGACGTAAGCCACGGGGTTCAGGACGGGCACGGACGCGAAGCCCCAGCCCTGCGACCCATTCTGCGCGCCGTTGATAATGAGCACGTCGGCCGTGGGCAGCAGAATCATATCGCCCATGCAGCGCCGCGTGGGCATGTCCTCCATGGCCCACTGCGGGCTGCTGCCGGTCACCAGCATCCTGCCGCAGGTCTGCGACGCGCCGAACTGCGCCCTGGAGTTGTGGAACGCCCCGAACCTCGCGCCCCCGCAGACCAGAATTTCCACGTCCGTGTAGTTGTTGCCCGCCTCCAGCGGCAGCATGACCGACGATCCGGCCGACGGATAATTCCGCGGCTCGCCGGGAATACGCGGGTACGTCCGGACGACGGTGTTGGTGCCGTAGTCGAGCAGGATCGAGTCCCGGTTGGCGAAGATGTACAGCCGGCCGTCCGGCAGCAGGTGCACGAACGGGTAGTAGTTGTCGTTCTGCACATCGTTCGTCTGGCGCAGGAATGGCAGCTCGAATGTGCCCTCGCCTGCCCTCCTGGGGATGAACTCGTACGTGAAAATCTGGCGCCCGCCGACGACGATCATTCTGCCGTCGGGCAGCAGCTGGTTCGACGAGTACCATCGGCCATTCTGCAGGCTGGTGCTGTTGGACTCGACCCAGTCGCAGGTCTCGCTGGCCAGGCACGGATTCAGAGTGCGCACCTTTCGCAGGCCCTCGTTGTCGCCCCCGGTTTGCACCAGCGTCCCGTTGGGGAAGAACTGCCCCGACGAGCACCATGTGTCGGTGAAGATGAACAAGGGGCGCACCGTGTTGGCGCTGGGATCGAACATGACGGAGTGAGCCGAGCAATCTCGAGTCGCCTTCTGCTCCTGCGGTTGGTTCCGGCACCGCCCGTTGGGCAGACTGATCTGAGACTCGCCGATGTTCGTTCGGTCCAGAAAAATCACCGTGTTGAATCGCGTCACGGCCGTGTGCATTGTGGAAATGCCCGCATTCTCCAGCAGCAGCCTCCACGATCCGCCTCCCGTCACTGCTTGGCCCATCACCAGCATGACGCTCTGCGTCACAGCCAGAAGCAAAACCAACCGCGCCAGCATTCCCTCCGTGTCCGTCTTCATCGCTGCTCGCTTCACTATTCCCTGCAGCGTCTCGCTTTGCAGCCTCCGGTCGATGTCCAGCCTCCTATCAATCTAACATCTGATCGAGAGTCCAGGGGCCGGTTGATGAATCTCTTCCGTCCCAGCTGCCGAGGCAACTCGGTAGGAAAAGTTTCTGACGCCCTCTCGATCTGATTCCCCGTGGAATTCTATGCCAAAGCGACTTGCCTGTCGCTCTCTGATTCAAAACTCTTCTCCTCTCCTGCGTGTGGACTCGCTCCGCCGCTGCCTTTGCTTTGGCAGAGATGATCCCGGGCCTGGCGAGTGATGAACTGTGATGGTGTTCCTCTCTTCTCTTTCTGGATAAAATGTGCGTGACGGAATGACTGACTGAGTGACAGGTCGCATTCCGTCTTGACACGACTCGATCACTTCTTCTCACTGCAGCTGTTTGTGAATGTGAGCCAGGAAGTCACGCAATGCTGTCCTCATAATGAATCCCTTGCGCACAAGCTCTGGCTTTCTGTCCGACTAGATCGCGAAGGGCTGCATCGGCAGTGAGCTCTTGCAGAAAAGGAAGCCGTGACTGAGGGAAGCCATAGAGTGGACTTCGCAACCCAGCTGGAGCTTTTCCGAGAACTCACTATGAACCCTGGTGCTGTGCAGTTAGCGATGCAATCTCCTCTCCAGAGCTTTGAGCACCACCGCCAGGTAGCTGCAATGGCTTATCACTCACTGCAGAGATTGACTAAGAGACACTGTGGTCGTATACGGCTAGTGGTCACAAATCCCACGACGGGCGTCCCTCCCTCGCTCGCACTGTGCTAGCTCCCCCTTCTGCTGCTGCTGCTGCTCAGTATTCGACGAATGTAATAAAAGCGAATTTTAGCTTTACAGAAGCACTGATTACTGTTGTTTTGGCATTGAACTTCAGGCACACAGAAACAGCTCCACCACTTTTGAAAGAGGAGTTCCATGATGTGTGCATTCCAGGAAGTTATGGGGATATCTGGATTGCTCAGATTGTGGGGACAAAATTGCCGGCTCTCTCTCTCTCTCTCTGCAGGACAGACTCTCATCTGCAGGACACCATGCACGAAAACCGTTTCCTTGACTGGCCTCACAAACTTCTACAGCAGTGGACAAAAGTTCACCTGTTCTCCTTGACAGGGCCTATGAGCGCCTCGTTGGCCATGACATCCATCGATAGGCCCTTCGTCTACTAGATCCACAGCGTGAGTTGCTAGCCGTCTGGCAATATCACGTCCTTCGCCCGTCTGCGCTTGGCATTGGGTTTAAATTTGGATGTGCCTCGACTGCTTACTATTTAATGCCTCAATCTAAAACGCGTTTCGTGGAAATCCACTTGCACTCCATACCCTGCCCTCTCGCGGCCCCCGGACCCCGGACCCCGAATGGCGGAGATTATTCTTCCTTTATGAGTCTCTTTAGTCCGTTTGCGTGACCTACTACTACTGCGCATCCATAATAGTTTTACTCCTTGCGTTACAGATCTTACCTTCCTAGACTTGTCGATAATCAGCAGTCATTGTCATCGTCTCAAACCCCAAATCCACATCCTCTTCATCATGGATCGCTTGGACAGGATCTCGAGTTTAACTTCCTCACGATTTCTTCTTGTGAGGAAATTAATCAATAAATAGATTGCGACTCCAGAGATCTGCGGGACGGTATCATTCGTGTAAATAATTGGACATCCACCGTGAGACCCTGCAGGGTGAACTCATTCGTCGGAGTTCAGCCTGTAGCTTTCACGGTGATCGATCCTGGATCCTGGAAATGAAAGTGATCCGCATTGCATAAACTCCGCAAATCTCCATTAACTGTTGACCTTCAGTGTGATCCAAGGTACCACGATGGAGAAGCCTCGTGTGGAGGTGCCATCCAATCCGGTCTAACCATGGATAATTTACGGTGCTCATAATGATAGCATTTGTCTTTTCTTCGGGTTTGACTTCTAATTCGACTGGAATTTGCTCGCTTTATGACCATGATTATTGTCGAGGTGAAGGCAATATTCTCTCGCGGTGGCTGGGACAAGACCATCGGCGAGAGGCCAAGCAGTAGTATTACAGTGGGTGACGGAAGCTAAAGCTGGTGCTGTCATGTTGTTGAACTTTACAGACGTCGATAGATTGCATTCCAAACGTGCGGTTTGGAACACCGTGGCTCGTGTGCGCAAGATGGGAGCACTGCGAGAGACCAAGCAAACTTGAACGCATTCTTCCACGTGTGAGGGAGGAAGACGCCATTTGCTCTTCTGGATCATCTACATCATATAAATTATATGTATATCCCCACCTAGATGGTCCAGATTTTGTTCTAGTAGTTGATTCTGATCTAGGTCAATTATATCATATGATTGACCCAGATCAGATTAATTAATGCTCAAATCCGGAACAAACCATGTCAATTATGTGACCATGATTATGAACCAACCATAATCACAAACAGCTTCAGTTGACGGAGCATGTGTAGGACCTTGCATGAATTTGAAACCCGTGAGATCACTGTGATACGCTTGCTATTTGGACACGACAACTTCGCGAACGACAGATGCATACACTGAAGGTCAAAGTAAGTAGTCATACAACTTTTTAAATTCCAGTACATAGGATGAGAATCTTGTTCTCATGCACAGCTGCCTAGGGAGATAATGAAGTAAGATATAGGATTATAGCACATAAATAACGAAGTAATGGAAATCTCCTATTGATTGGCACAGGAATGTTACCAATCGGAAAACATGGGGCTAGATCCAGGAGCATCACAATGAAAAATATGGACTATTGTAACTAAAAGATCCACATCTTGGTTGAATGGAGTACATACAACAACAGCATCTTAAAAATTGATTATGGTGGGTGGATGGTTATGGGTGGTGTGATCCATCGTGTCACGTGATTGTTCTCCTATATACTATACCGCCCAATGCTCCACTTAAAACAAAATAAAATTGCAATATAAATTGAACGAAAAATCTTCACTAAGAAGATAACTAACATAACATAAGACGAAATAAACTAAAAAATGATACTTTATAATGGCTAGTTTGAAAAATATTAAACAAAACTTTCACAACCTTTTGAAAATCAAAGTACAAATCTCTATATATCTTTGAAGCTAAAGAATAAATAGTATCGTAACAGTATTTCTATATTTAAAGGTCTTTTCGGTTTTCCTCTAATTGTGTTCTATACAAGATAATGACAAATCATCACTTTAAATACATGTCATTTGTAGAATAATTCACTATAAGTCTCGCAATAGTAACATAGTCCTCTTGTGTAGCTTAAGTCACTTGATCTTAAATAAGTTAATTAGAAGTGAATTTAAAATCCACGGGAGATTTTGATAATCTCATGGCATGAGAAAAATTTATACTTCTAATTAATATTCATACTATGGATATTTATCGTTCTTCTGAATGAACATCAAATCTTATCTATATTATTTCATGTAAGGTTAGTAGTAATCTCATAGATAATCACTGAAAACGGTAAAAAATATATTAATCTCTACTCAACCTCATCGCAAGTTGGAGCAATAAAAAAAATTCGATGCATGATTGACACATGCATCGTGGCTTTAAACATATAAAATAAAAGAAATATCCGACAAGGACCCAGTACTGTCAGACGAAAAAAATAATTTGTAAAGAGATATGGCAAGTAAGTATACCCGAAAATATTCTTTTGCTGAATACTAGTTGCATATGTAGTACTATTTTCAATGAAAGCCAAGTTGATAGAAATGTTTCGAAAATTGTGATGAATAGTGATATATAATGAAATCGGTGAGTGATTAGAATGAAAAATCGCAATTTGATCGATATCGAAATTTTTGAAAAGCTATATGGCTTGTCAATCTAAAATATCATACGAATCAAATTTATCAAATTTTTCGTTGTGACAAATTTTGATTAATAATTGATTAGATTTTTATAAATTTTATTTAGAAAGAATCATTTTTAAATGTGAGAAATAGATTAAATTATTGACGAACTAATTATTATTTGAACTTTAAGAATGTTTCAATTGAATGATCCACCTTAGTTTCAACATATTTATGCATTCCAAAATTACAATATTAAACAAGAATATAGTTTAATATTGCAACTCAAGTTTTAAAATTGCAACATAGTTTTGCATATTGATTTGCGATACTATTTTCTATTAGGAAAATTTCAAAGAATTTTTTTGGGAAAGGAGAAGAAGGGCGAATTGCAATAATTTATGAAGTTTGAGCTAGAGGTGTGAACGAAGAATATTGCACCGCAGAGTTTAGGTCATCTCAAAGTAAAGAAATATTTATGCAACATAAAACTTTTTGCATACTCTTACAAATGAAATATACAAGAGGATCATACTAGGACTAAGAAAATGCAATAAAAGCTCATCAATAATTATCAATCTCGTGTGTACATAAAGCTTTTATTCCATGGTAAGAAGCCTATTAACACAAGGGATTCATCAGAGCATTGAGTCACTCTCAACACCACTGCTAGAATCTTCTATGTTATACTGTAGCCCAACGATAGCCAGAGTATGTTCATGGTCTCTGCCATCATGACGAATGGAGCATTTGTAAGCAAGATGGAGATTACGTTCTCATGATCAACCTCATGGAAAACAAGTGTAAAGAAAAAGTAGAAATCAAATCAAATGATAAGAAAGAAGTTGTACTCGTGTAGGTCTTCGTTGTGTTGATGTGCCTTGGGACACGCCTCTCTTACGGTCCTCGAGTTGTTCTTCTTTCGGTGGATATTGCAATCGTATCTTTTCAAATTTATGCGCATTCATTTTCCTTTCTTCCACAGTTCCTGCTGGAACACAATTCCTGTTAAACAAAATGGTTATGGAAAACATGATTGTACTATCTTCACAATCCTGCATTCCAGCATCCTGATCAATAGGATGGAATACATTTCTTTGAGAATTATGCCATCGGTTCTCTGTTAGTAAGGAGATATACACACCTGCCCTAAGCTCTTGTTTAACAAATCTATATCAGTGGCTCAAAGCACAGAATTGTTCCTTCTACCTGTCAGCACAGTACAGTAATAGAGGGTCGATTAGGTGGAACGGTGGAGAAACATTCTTTAGCATCAGCAGACAACAAGAGCTTGACACTGTCGTTGTCTCTCTACGTCAGTATTTAAACAATCATGGCCACAATTATTGGAACCTCGAACGCAGAGTCCGGTCATGAGAACGAAGATGCGCCATATTTCCCTGAGGAGGATTGCGAGTGACTTGACATAAACAACGCTCATCGACGCTGAAAACTATGCCGCCAATGTAAGCAACCTTCTTCAAGCCTGGAAACCGCACGCGCCAGTTTTGTTTCACAAAGAGAATCTAATCCTCCGTCCAACACGCGCAACTCAAGCATGCAGCGATCGGAAATTGCTGTGTCTTTATAATATTTTGATGAGATACCCACCCGTGAGTTCCTTCCTTCGCCGCTGAAACTCATACAATTTCACACCAGTTGATGTTGTGCGACTTGTGGCTCAGCAAACGGTGTGACACTATCATTCCGTACTTTTGAAAGGTCAAGGTCAATGCCGGTCTCTCAGGAAATGGTTGCGGAGATAAACCGCCTGGCATGAATTGCTAGGGTTGTCACAAGGATTGTGTTCCCCTGTTCCCGAGTGTCCAATCGCTCTGTCTTCGCGTCTCGACTGACCCACTGGGTCTGTGAAGATGAGGATAAAGACGAGCAAGCGTGATCGTCGGCGAAAGCCAGATGCACCATGATGCATCACGACCGAGCTGCTTCGAGGGTATCCGTGACACTGTGCGGGTCCAAATGGACATGAAGGTCCCCAAAGGCTAAAGCTCTTGAGGTTGCCAACGTGAAATTGGACATCATAAGTAATGATTGAGCCCGCGACAGACGAAAAACAGTGCGAGGGTGTGGCAGCGCAGCTGAGCTTGTCACAGATAATACCATCTCGATAGAAGCAAGTGCTGGACTCACCGCAGCTCAGTATAACTTGAATCTCTAATCATGGCCGGGACTCCGAGGCTCAGCACGTCCCCTCCACTTCGTTCGGAATGCTCTGAATCTCCTTCGCCCTCTCGAGCACCGATGGCGAATATATTTCATTATTTCATGGGGGAATCTGACCTTCGCGAAGCATCTGCAGTCACGACACGATGGAATGTCACATTGGTCGAGGTTTTGAGGGAAAAGGCAATCACGAGGGACGCCTTTGCTTCCTGTCTCCAGTCTTGACTCGACTTGACTGCGGTGACCGGAGAGTCAGACTCCGGTTAGACCTGGACAGCTACTCTCGAGGCATCCTATGGAGGCATTTTCACATGGCACAACTACGATTCTTTTCCCTCTGAAAAAATCTTTTAGTCCAAGTACGGGGACGATTCCCCTGTTGCAGTGTGAATATTCAACCGATCTCATAATCAGACGGCTTGAAGTGAATTTTTGAAACACTGACAATATCAGACTAAATGTTGATCATATATTCGGAAAATTTTGAGAATAAATGAAATTTTGTAATCTAAAATATTATACATTTTCAACAAGAGTTGTGATTGATGTGAAATAAGATCAAAAATAAGACGTGCATAGTCTTGAGTCCAGCGTCCATCCAAGGAATATAATTGATAATCATATGTGGTACAGTATACAAATATATCAATGATATAAATGTAGAATAATAACGGTATTATTTGATTATCAATCATTGAGGAGTTTGCATCTTTATTATGGGTGTACTTTTGTCTAACGCAAAAAAAATACAATATACAGGGAAAACCCCTTTGGGTTCCGAACTACATATAGGAAAGGTTTGTAGCACTTTGGGAGGTATTGATCAATTACATGGACCCACTTTTCACTCCATTTGTGATAATTTAATTATTTATAAACCGTCCCTAAAAACCCCATTCATGTTTGACCATGATGGATCACGTCCTGCCCTGTGGCAATCTTCTATAACCTTATAACTAGAAAATTTTTATTAACGTTTTTTTTCATGTTTTCATATTTTAGTAAACAAACATTCATTCAACACATGGCTGTAATATTGTATGTAATTTATTCTTGTAACTCAATAAGTCAAAGCATATAAAATTTCTGCTCAATTGAAGATTTTTCATTACATCATTTCTCATAATCTCATATTTATTCTAGTGTCGTTAAAGAATTGCTATATTATGATTTTTATTATTAAAGAAAGCATATCATTATATTTTTTTTATTTTGTTTTCTTTTAATAAAATTTACATATTCATCTTTATAAATAAATATCTATAAAAATATCAATTTTTGCATTAGATTTATTTAAGATTGATGTATTTATATTTGTTTGATACGATCAAATTTGATCACATATGTAATGATGAACTATTCTACACATAATAGAATTTTCGATGTAATAATTCATGAATGATTATGGAGTGCGAAACAAAAATTAAGGCATATGAGAAAATTAAAATATATCCTTTTGTTGATATAATACAAGAAAATGTATGAGAGTTAAGACATGTTCATAAGAGAATGAATATCATGTTAAACATCAATATCTAACCTTTAGTGTGTATTCTTGATACCGTCTTTTATTACTGCAAAGAGTGCACTAGCTAGTACTAAAAATACGAGAACTACAGTCCGCTGTTTAATGCTCTAAACAAGACATAAATCATGTGAAGTGATGGCAACATAGTAAAAAAATGTGATTTCTAGACTATCTGATTTGGATCATCTGGATTTGGTAAGGGGTGTTTTTTTGGGAGTTGATATTTAATTCACTTCCAAATATTCTCAATAGCTTTCAAAGGCTTATTTCTTCTGCAATACACTTGGCCTATTTTCATTTGAATTGCATGCATGAAATTATTTACCATTATCGAAATTTATATTATTAAATTTGACTCCCTTACGGTAATACCATTAGAATCAATTGGAACATGAAAGGTAGCATGCAGCCAATCATAAACTACATGAGCAGTGCTAAGCGTCGTGCACATATGTATAATAATTGCGTTGACTTAGAACAAGGAAGACGCAATTTAAACGGGCGAATTACTTATCCTCACCCTCAGCTTCAGTGATTTTAGATTCCGAGAATATTGACTCTAATGAATGAACTTCTTTAATCATCAACAAAACTTTGATACGAGTGTTTTGTTGCAGTTAAAAACTGTTTTAAGTGGAAATCTCGGGATATGATTTCTTACTTGTAACTTTTTAAATTCACTTCTCGATAAAAAAACTAACACGTCTTTAACAAACTTGCAAATTACTGACGAGTTCACAAGTTCTCTACTTTACATCAAAAGCTTTTGATTTGACGTAGATATCCGAACGGGAATTGCTTGGTATTCAATATAGGACACAGGGTGATAATGGAGAACATCGTTACAAATCTGACTTCGAACGCTTTTCGCTTTTCGTTCCTTCTCTTTTCCGCTTCCACAGCACATCTGTATCCTCGTGTTCGTCTCTAACATGCCTACAGTGTCTACTCCCAGTTCGAAACGATAGAAACTTCAGGCAGGACCCTGAAGGTAAACCCATCATGTCCCGTGATATGAATGTTAGAAAAACCACGATAAGCATCTTCATGCTTTTGTAAGAACTCTGCGTTTCTCTATTTGGTGTTATTTGTACTTCTCTTTACCCTCTGCTCCTGTTGCTGGAGTGTGCCCACAATTCTGTTTAATTAACATTTTACTGAAGATATTTCACAACATAGTGTCAGGCATGATGAGCAATGACCTGCATTTCCCACCTGAATGACATGCGGACATGAGCGAGTATGTCTTGAAAATATATATAATCAACCTAAAAATGCCTTTCAAAAGACTGATGTCCAACGGCACTTTGTGATAAGGTCCAAAGCTCTTCCCATTTTGTTTGGACACTAAGGAGTGCGCTAAAAAAGAAGCAACATTGTCTTCCGAATAAACTGTAATGACCATGAGTAGAATGCAGAATGTGACATCATGAGTACATAGACTTCCAAATAAAGGTGCAAAACTTTCGGAAAACACTGAGATTGAAATCCGTGCAGCAAACCTCCGTAAAAGTGATGACACGTCTCAATTAGTCGTATACTTACAAAGGAATTACTTCCACGACGAGCTAGGAAATAGAAATTTCAGCTGTGGCTGAAATCAGAAACACCTGTCTCCTCCATTCCAAAATCCATAAACTAATCCCATTATAGTGCTCCATTTAAGAATACCAACTGTAAAAACTTGATGATGTGGATCAAAATATAGGATATACTATCGATGTATCTCTACGCGATCTTGATACCGACAACAGACGTTCCCAGAAAGGCTCAAGAATGATCTAGTGTCCCCAACAAGGACATCAAACAACCTCTGATGTCCTTGTTGAGGACAATAGACCATCTTTCGAACATCAATAGCTGGTCTGTGGCTCCAGTTGAAGTAAACAATCGCAAAGATCTGCGTCTGCAAATGGCAAAGATGAGCGGTTTTACTCCACATGCTATGATGCTTCTGTAATATTCGGAGGAGCTGAAGAAAGTATGAAGCTTTACGGATATGAAATCTGGACAGACACAAGCACCAAGTTCACAATCACGTGGACAGTGGTGCGAAAAGGCATCAAAAGCACTCGGGACAAAGGATGAAAGTCTACCCCTCAAATGATGGACAAATAAGTCATAAGAACAAAACACACAGGGCTCACGGAAAGGTCATTCATAGTTCAAACGATGAAAAGTTTGCAAAAAAGTCAAGTCTATGTCGTGCAGTTTGCTCACCTTTTGTGTTTCAGAAAATTATTCTGATATCAAAGCTTTACTTTACAGTGACTAAATCGCAGTATACTCTCCGAATAGCGAGGACAAAGTATGCAGTTTGAAGGCAAATTGTCCAGAGAGTCCTGAGTGTGATAACTGTAACAAAATTGAGTGGAAGTCCGTGAAATGAATGAGGACTTACACAAATAGCAATCTAAGGTGGCCACTACTCCTGTACAGACTAAACATTACAATCAAAGGCAGATTCTACTCGTCCTTTACTATGAGCGTGGAAGGTCAGTACTGATGAACCGGCTTCATCTCTTCTCGCAGGTGACCTTGAGTGGCAAAGATTCAGGTCTCCTCCAATGAGAGCTTAGCCTGCAAGAGGATTTGCATGCATGGTCACTCTATTAAGTCTGATTTCGGCCAGCGGCTTGTCTCCTGGACCAATGGGAGTCTGCGTCAAAGAGCACAAATGAGGTCAGGAGTTAAACGAAACAAAACACAACACAACTATATTAAAACATAAAATCCTCTGCAATCCGCGAGGGCTATAGGTTGTACTTTTTCCCCGTCTCTTGCAGAACTGACATGTATGCTGTTAGACAAAACATTTATGTACAACCTACTAGAACAACTGACGTCGGGCTTGTCAAATGGCCTGCAATTATATACTGCATCCATGAATGCTATAAAACTTATGTAGGAAAACCTACAGAGCATAAATCATCTCGTACATATTCAACATGTATAAAATTCCTACTAAAGATCTTTCCTCGCGACTTTCCAAGACAGCTTCTAAGTGTATCAAGTTTGATAAGCGTTTCCGAGCAATGTCTACTCTCCTTCATGTAGAATTTATAGCAAGTAGATAAATCACCAATCAGTAACCTTCAGAATTGGAGAGTAACAAACCTTCTCCATAACGTCCAGAACTTCAAAACCGTGAATGACCCGCCCAAAAATAGTGTACAGGCCGTTCAAATGGGGCTGTTTAGCATAAGTGATGAAGAACTGACTACCATTGGTGTTTGGTCCGCTATTCGCAACTGACAAGATTCCTCTTGCATTATGCTGCAAGACGGCAAAAACCAGCGGATTGACGTAATAAAATTAAAATCATGCGTGCTTCCGACTGGCTGTGTGGTATATCGGATTACTCGATGTGGAACAGGTCATTGTAGCAACGGATTCAGTGCAGATTCAGATTTAATCACTACACAAGGCCACCCTAGTCTGAAACTAACGACTAGCTTGACAGATACTCTCTTCGCTTTCCTCATTAAACTGACAATTTCTCAGGAAACATATAGCCTCCAGGACTTACCTTCAAAGATTCTCGTATCTCATCATTAAATTTGCGCCCCCAGATACTCGTGCCTCCCCGACCAGTACCCGTGGGATCTCCTCCTTGAATCATAAATCCCTTGATGTTTCTATGAAAAATCGTACTATCATAATATCCACTGGCGCATAAAGCAAGGAAATTCTGCAAGCATTCGTACAACCAAGCAGAGTCATCACTAGATCGTCATCCTTATCATTTATCGCTAATGGATTCCAAAAGGAGCTCGGTTTGTACATGAGGAGAAAATCGACCCAACTGCAACACTCTTTGTCAACAGCAACCATCAGCTGGTCATCATGACGATTACAAACGGATCATGCGCGAAACAGGTTCGTTCAAATTTGCAAATATCGTTGTTAGCATGCGTATCATCCCTTCCAGAGACGTCGAAATGGCGCTCAATTTCGTCCTACATACCCTGCTCAGATGTGGACTCAAGTGCTGCTTACTTCAACCTATCCTGCCGACAATATTTGGTGAGATGAGAAAAGCTCTATACTCACCTCGGATGCTTTCGGAACCTCGTCGCAAAAAATCTCGCATTTTATATCGCCTAAATTTGTGTGCAAAGTCACAGACTGCAGACCAGTCAGGGAGAGCAAAAGTCAGCATTCCCAGTACAGACCCAAACAGTGAAGCGAAAGCTCCGAGTACCAGAACTGGATAGTACTCTGATCCACACCGAGCTAACGAACTGAAACCAGAGGCAGACTGACGAGGAAAAAAGGATCGCACCATCTCCTCAACCCAAAAGAAACTGGCGAATCCGCGCAATTGTGCTCCACTACTTTCCAGATATATCTAATCTCTGATTGCAGATCGACGTTCCGCGCAGTTCCTGCAAGAAGCGAAATGCGCGGTTCTAGAGCAGGTCAATATTACATTCGCAATGTATCTCAGGCCTCGTCGACTTGTGTTTACTCCGGTCTCCTTACCAAGAGCTGGAATCGAGTTTGATGTTTACTCGGAAATTCTCGTCCTTGATCTTCTGGCCTTCACAAGAACGAAGTAATTGCAGACTTAGGGTTCTACGAACCCCAAAACCTCCGCAGAATCTTGTAGAAGATTCTCCCGGAATTTCTTGCTCCACAAGAAACTACATAGCGAGTACCACATCACAGCTATCTAATCAACAATGTAAACTCAATGTGTATATTAATCTTTTAAATCAAATATTCCATATTTAAAACTATTTGCCAAAAAACATTTAGATTAAGTTTTAAAATCCGAAAATTTATATATATATATATATATATTATATAGCCAATCAATAGTCCATAGCAAGGTATATTTAAATCTAGCTTTCACACATTACCTCTTAACATGAACAGGTTTAGTTAGATTTTGGCCTCAAATCCAAATACATTAATTTTGATTTTTATGAATTAGACACACAAATTAATCCATGAAATACATTACATGTGTCAATCAAACAGATTTTTGAAGTTTGAGTCAAGCTTTAGTATATATATACTCACCATTTAAATATAGATGTAGACACTTAAAGTGACTATCCTAAATACTTAGTTAAAGTTAATTTCGGTTAGTGAATAACCTCATTATCTAACCATTTATAGTTAAGAGACACTGGATATGAAAACAACCAATAATAATTTTGGGATCCGAAACATTTTACTCTCACATCTTTGTCTCAGTTTAGTCGATGTTGTTTTTAAGTCAAACCAAAATGTTGTCTAGCATGTCCAATATAATGGAATAATGATATGTAGGCTTCATGTCACCCTGGGTGGCAAAGTCATATGCCAATCTCTGTCATGATTAAACTCTTTCTTGCCCATCGATCCACGATCATGTCTTGCGTAATAAAACCAAAATAGAGAATGAAAACGTGGATCCTCCATAGACAATACAAAGGATGTCGTCGACAGCAATAGATCGAAGTGGTTATGGCAACAATGTGCCACTAACAATGCAACAAGCTCGAGAGCTGGCATTGAACAAATGTCAGGTGTTTCAACAAATGTGGCATGTGTGAAAATGTCCGTTTAGATTCGTCACGAAGAAAAGGCTAAGGCTAAAGCTAAAGCCCACGAACACACTCGGATGCGTCGACTGCTGCGCCGACTGTGGGAATCAATCGAATGTACGGTGCTCTGCATTTGAAGCTGGGGTCACTCCCTCCCTCGAGCAGTAGCTGCGGACGGTCGACCTGAGCCCACCATCTCCGAATTTGCCTCGAATCGACGCACGCCTTGTTTTGTTGCCGGTGAGTCTTTCTTCTCAAACGTGGCTGGTGGCACTTGGAAATTCTATCGTCCGCGGATAAAGGATGGTCTGGCCGCGAATTTAATATTTACTACAGAGGAGTGTGTTTCGAAGCATGGCTTATTGGTTTCAGAGATTTCACGCGATTTGTGACTCTCGGCATTACGGCGTCCGCTCAGTAATGCGATGAGCCGAGCTGAGCTGAGCTGAGCTGAGTTGAGGAGCTTTTCAGTTGAACCTCGCGTCGAACGATCTTTGACAAATTATCAGAACTTGCTTGAAGGTTTTGAAGGTTTCTTCTGCTCTTTCGTTCAGTATTCGCGGACTTGCTCGGATCAGTACCATGTTCTGAGGAATTGAAGCTCTCGCTTACTGTCTCTTCAGAATGGCCAATCCCAAAACTACTCTTTACGTTGGTACGTTCTTACGTGCCATGGCGCCCGTTTGTTTTCATTTCGCTTTTCAGGTAGGCTCGGTTAGGTCGTGTTTATTGTTAAGGCTTCCATTAAAGAATCGGTTTGCTTCAATTCGTTTCCGGTGCTGTAATGTGTTGCAACTTGATATGTTCCTATGCTCAATCTAAGAAGGTGGCACCTCGCTAGTTCTCTGCTTGCTCTCGTACTTCGAGAAAGGAGCAATTTTCTTTACTTCGACTCCCTGGAATACTTTGGTGCTCTGAGTGGTTCTTCACCTGCCGAAGGACCATCAACTCTTTATCAGCCTGGGAGAAATGACATTTAAGCAGGGCATCTACAGGTGGGTTGGAAGAAAATGTTACCGAAGGGATTTTGCACGCGGCATTTATTCCATTTGGTGACGTGAAAGATGTGAGCATGCCTCTGGATCAAGCAACACAAAAGCATCGAGGGTTTGGATTTGTGACTTATCTAGAAAAGGAAGATGCAGCTGCCGCCATGGATAACATGCACAACGCGGAACTGTATGGGCGAGTACTTACGGTGAACTACGCTCAGCCCATCAAGATCAAAGGTGGTGAGCAAGGATGGGCCTCACAACCAGGTAAGATTCGAGGGCGTCGAGCAATTGTAGTTGCCTCCTGAGCTCGGTTATGGGAACGACCTACACCGGTTAGCCTTTGTCCTGTTTTGTGGTTGCGAGTGTGACAGTCATTTGGTTGGCTTCTTAAGGTTTTTGTTTGGCCTTAGCATTGAGTATTGAGCCAATGTCGCATTTCGTCAAAAATTTCGGGCATGCGGTATAGCGGACTTGAAATTGTACACTTTCTGTCGTTCTGCAGTTTGGGCAGATGCAGACACATGGTTTGAGAGGCAGCAACAGGAAGAAGAGTTGGCAAAGCTGAATGCAGAGCATGAGGCCACAGTCAAGGCCGCCGAGGAAGAGGAACGCAAACTTGCAGCTGGTAAAGGCATTGTGGAGGAAGAAGATTCCAAAGACGATCCAATGGTTCAAGCCGAAGCCGCTGCTCTTGCCCAACAATCTACATGATATTTGTTGCCGATTCAGTACTTCTTTCAGAGCCGCAGGGCATTTCGCCATAAAGATAATCCACGCCAGCAGTCAGCTCCTGCTGAGTTTCTCCTCTCGGAAGATTGGAAGATTACTAGAGGTCTCGGGTCCTGTTTGTTATTACTTCTGATCTGGTTGTACGAGGTAGAAGAGGTCCGCTATGTTGGGAGCAATACCTGGACTTGCAACTTGAGCTTCACGCAAAATCCTGATCCGGTTTAAGGGTATCATAGATGGACCTTCGCACGACTGTTGAGTTGGTTGTATCACGAGTCAGTTGCTTTGTCAAAGTAACGTTGTAACCTGCAGAGTATCTCATGTCGGTGAATGCATACCTGGCTCCCGCTTGATACTTCGAAACGAGTCACATGAAGGCAGACAAACTTGAAGGTCTCATTCATCCCTGAAGTGTTTTCGGCAGCCAGTGTCGAAAAAACTCAAGTGTGGACTAATTTTCTGTACTGTTGTTACATATCATAAGCTACATAAAGCGTCTTCTCAGGTTTATCAAATTTAATTAAATTCTGCACACATGATTTTCCCTCTTTTTTGGATTTTGGTTGGTACTGAGCTTTGATCTGTTTCCCTTGCGACACTAAAGAAACGGATGGATGTTTCCTACTTGCGGTCAATCGATGTTGAACTTCCTAAAGCATCCGGTCATGCGACCTGTCCTTCGTCATCGTCGAAGCTCATGCTCCAAAACGAAACTTCTTGCTTCAATATTTCTTGGAAATACTCTTCAGCCTTCTGTAGCATGTCTTGAGCAGCGTTTTGCAGGGCCCTGTCCGCCATTCGTTTCAAACAGATACAATATGTCTTGAAATCTTTACTCCCCCACCGCTGGCAAGCCTCAAGTAACTCAGGCGGAGTGTTAGCATCCGTCTCCAAGCATGTGGCAAAGCTTTCATTGTACACCATCTCAATGGCCCAAAATGCTGAGATGATAACAGGGTACTCAATATCTGGCCCGGCCAAACTCTTCAACAATCTGCCAAGCCCACGTTGACAATATCAGTTGTAACAAGACTGCAATCAGGAACAGCATAGCAAATACAGCCTCCTTCGAAGGACCGTGAAGAAAACTCAATCACCAGTAGGCATTCAGCAAAGCAGCTACTTCGTGCACAGCGTAGATTCAATTACTCGTAAACAGATGCAGGAGACACAACTTCGCATTCCTGCGACCTTCAAGTGATCAGAGGACGGTGCAGCTGGGGAGAGCTTTTAACGCTTCGAGGAGTACCTGCAGTAGCCTTCGGTGACAGAGTGCTTCAATAGACCTTCAAACTTTGTATTCCACTGAACAGATTGGGATCTAAACCACAAGAGCTCAGCCTGTAATGCGCTCAATCCGCCCATAAGGATATCCAGATCCTCATCACCGATTGACTCTGGAGCTTTGACGACGACACTAGCCGCGAACCGGCAAAACTCTTTCACGAAGAGGTAGTCCTGGCCCTATAATGTCCACCAATTTCACAATCGCAGTGAGTATAACTAACAGCAGTCAGCAAATTCACTTTCCACCTAAATCTTTCTCCCACTTAAGTTGAAAGTACGATCTACTTTGCAACACGACGAGTAACCAATTGACTAGTGTCATGATCTAGCAAGAGTGCTATATGGGATGAGCTCATGCATGAGACGAATCACCCACCAGCCAACGAGTGTAAAATCGATGATCAAGCGTGCCTTCTCGAATGCTTAGAATGAATGGGGCTCGTATCGCAGAAAGGTAAAGCTCGGAATTCCGGTGCATCCATGTCGAGGTGATTGATGTTTTGGAGGCCTCCATCGCCATCTTCTTCCCTTCTGATCTCCCGAGTCAGCAGTGTGTCTTTTTCCCGCACAGACAAATTGCAGAAACTGCACCTAAAGTGAACTCGTGAATATGTCACACTTCACCGGTCGCCTCCGCTCTGTGACTGGTATGACTGAATTCTGCATTCACTATCTTGTGGAACCAGAACCAACGCTATGTATGTGCAGCCAGGCCTTCACTTACACTGTACACTTAGCGGACCCGCTATCTTTGAACTCCTCCTTTTACTGCGTAACCATCGTTGGGAACATATGATTTCCCGACAAATGTCACCATGAATTTGCGTAAATTTGTGGTAGATCATGTTGTATCGGAAGCCATCTAACCTTCGGGTCTGATGTCTGGAGATGCTGGAGATACCCTGGGGATGCTTTTTGATGCCTTGTATATACTCATATGACAACACATAGTGATATTTAATACGAGAAATTTTGTCTGATCAACTGTGAGGCACTTACGACGACATCCTCAGTCATTTATCATCTCTGTAAGTTAGACTTCATTCAGCACGATATGGCTCAAAGGCTTTAACAGGCGAGACTAAGTCGTCCAGAACGCAGAAATCATCCGTGCTGTCCATTATTTTCGATCTCAATTATATGTCAATCATATTTAATCGAGAATGCCATTACATAAGAGTTCGTACTGATATACTAAACGAGGTGTATGACTGTTTTCTCGTAGCACTTTAAGAATTTGCTCCTGAAAACGCTCCTGCAACAATGCTGCTTGATCTCTTCTTCTGGCCCGGTTGCGTAGACAAGAAAATCAAAAAGCATCGTCAACTTAAGGGTTGCGTCTGGAATACAAGTCTGGATGCAGTTTGTTGAGCCGAGTTTTACATTCAAATGTAATTGCATTAACTGATTGTGTCATTCGTATTTTCAAATTCAGGACAAAAACGACATGTCTCTGTTGTGGGCAAGTGGCCATTCGAATGCCTGAAACGATGGTGGTACACATTCGGCACGGTAAAACAGGACTAACGAGCACGTGTACCCGAAACAACAGCGACATGCGTAAGTGTGACGTGATTTATTTCAGGGTTTCCTTACAGAAGCAGTAAACAACTCTTCGATATCAGGAAGATCGGTGCTTGCTTTTTGAGGATGACTTGAATCCTTCTTGTATTCCCCAATTGCTAGCTGACCACAAGCACCGGCTATGTCCTGCCCCATCTCTCTGCGAACTATTGCTCTTACGTTGTACACCTCCCGAATGATTTTTTGAAATGAGTGGATACTCTCTTCACGGCTGGCTTTGTAATCAGCCTTGGTTAAAGTCGGGTTGTAGGGAATGAGATTCAGAACCTGCAATTTCATTGCCCACACAGAAAAGTCAAAACGGCATATATATCACTTGAATCTGGGCAACCATGTCGGACTCATTTGCAAAACGTTCTCGGAACCCAGTAATTCAAAGTACCTCGTTTCGTATACCATACATAAACAACAAACAGCTCAAGTCCTACATATCATAGTAACAACATCGGAGATTTTCAGAGATTGTGAAAATGGTAATCTTGATTACAAAAAGCTTCGAGTTAAAAAATAGTATGTGCCATTCACATAGGAAGAATTCGTTAAGCTAAAAAATGATTATGATCAGGGAGGGCACGCACCACTTGTCGGTCCTGCAGGAGTGCACCGACTTGATGTGCGAGTTCTTCGGAGTCATTGACGTCCCCGATCATGATATACTCAATGAATACCTTGCGCTTACTGCAATCAGGATCCTCTCTTCCGTCAGGCCAAATGACATGTACAAGTCTCAACAATCCTCCAAGAGAGTTTCAAGAAATGCAGATTGAGCTTTGTATCGTCTCGTATACCTTGCTCCAATGTAGGAGTCCACTGCAGCCATTAACTTCACGAGATTGTAGGCTCTAGCTGCTGGCACAATCTGGCACCGAAGCTCTTGAGTCGGGGCGTGTAGAGAAAGCGCCAAATTAACCCCAGGTAAATCAGTAGCCAAAGACAAAATTCGAGGTATGACACCCACCTGTTCAGTAATGACACGAATCACCGCATGATAAGTAATCATCAGCGTACGTTATACGAGCTAATCGTAATTCAATTAGGAACTTGTTTAATAAGAAACTGAGAATAACATAAGAAATATCTAGAAACGAACTCGGAAGATATTGTGACCTTCCCTTCATGTTATTACCTAGCATATTACTAACTTGGCAGAGGTGAGAGTTCACACAGTAGATAGGGTGATGTGGCTCGGTGATACGCTGAAGCAGTGACCGGTCATGGTCTTTATTGCTTGCACAACAGCTTGATAGTTGTTCAATGGTTCACCCATTCCCTGATATCGTGCACAAAAATCGCACAACATGTTCGACTTGTCATGTCATGTGTAAACCATGCACTTGAAAAATGAAACGACAGCACGATATATCTAATAAGATGAAGGCAATGTATATCACTTAGTTAAATTTTCAGATGTTCTAAACTAGATGTTATAAAACTGCCGCTAGGACTTCAAACATCCTACTCCAATCATTTTGTACTGAGTCCTTAATTCAGAAAGTGAATTTGAGACTTTTAAACCTTGAGAGAGCAAAAACTATCTGTACAATCGTGATAGATATAAGAGGGTAAGTGAGGTTCCAGTGTTCCAATCACTTTCATATTGATACCGTGCATCAGTTCTAGAAAAAAACCGAAAGATGACTACAAAAATACCTAATATCCTGAGACAGCTAAACCTTGCGAATATATAGCTGAACAGAATGAATACGCGGGCCAGTGATAAGTATTTAACATACCATAAAAACAATGTTGCGTATAGGCGTTATTCGGGTAGCATGGACTAATTGCTCCACGATCTCTCCAGCTGAGAGGTTTCCTTTGAGTCCCATGGTGCCTGTGGCACAAAATGTGCACCCCATTTGGCAGCCAACCTTGAGCGTGTTGTGCACCATGTCAGTATATGTTTCTCACGAAAAGGTCGGATACAATTTGATAAATGTGCGCCGATGTGAACGCAGATCATATTATTCCGCTGATATTCTTCTGCTTGAATATTGTGGCTCTACAATACGGCTACAAAGATAAGAAGATCGTTTCAACATACCTGTGATGAGACGCAGAGCGTTGCCCTAGGAGATCCTTGTCTAGGGCCACCAGCATACAATCCAGCTGTTGCATCATGCCTCATGATTACAGATTCAACAGACTGACCATTCTGCATGCATATTTTTTGTTTAAGGTTAATTCCCGATGCAGCAAGTACTACACATTTCAGGCTAGAGATATAAGATCGGTGTTGGAAGACTACAACACTCATATTTACAGCCTGAAAATAGAAATATGACAGCCTTCAAACCCAATGAACAATGAAAACATTGATAAGCAGCTGGTCTCCAACCTGCATCTCTATGAGAAGCTTCACAGTGGTGCCGTCCGAAGAAAAGTGCTCAACTTTCAACTTGCTGGTGGTAGACTTGAAGTGAGACCGAAGGAGAGGATAAGCTGCTTTAGGCAAATCTGGGACTTCATGAGGCTCTGCATCTTTATGTGCAAGCAAGTACCTGCGTACAAGATGCCAATCCGTGTGTAACAGAAAATTTAAAAAAAGACTTCTGCTTCTGATCAGAACTAGGAATTCGAGGACAAAGATCTCTGCTGAAGGCCGCTTTAACAGGCAAAAGAACAAATCAGTATCAGTAATTACTTGTATCATTAAGATCACGATAAATATTGGAGTCGGTCCCTAAATTGGCCGACTAATTTGCAATCAGGTGAAAAGGATGGAAAAAGCACGAGCATGTATATACGACCCAACAGTTCAAACCAAATCGCCGGCAGTTTTCAACCACACAATCCACCCAATTTGAACTGACTGAGTTCCAATTCAATGGACAGGATGTTGTAACACACGAATTCAGAGTGAAGAAACAGAAAAGCATAACCATAACACTCAGAACCATGATCGAAATTTTAAAGACGGGCAGCAAAACAAATCTTTCTAAAAACGAACAATAAAGCAATAAGGAACCTACGATTGGATAGCAACTGCGTGCAGGTGCTTGATTCCACAACGTTCCAGTTCGGCCTTCAATTTCACTTCGTCAAAAACGCTGAACTTGGGCTCCTCCATTGCTCCCCTTCTTCTAAGCGGACACCATCGGCCGTGAAACTTCAAATGCCCCTGTCACGCTGCCCTTCCCCGCCCCGCCCTGCCCTGCCCTGCCCTGCCCTGACTTACGTTCCCATCAAGCGCAGAAAGCAATTGCATTCAATTCCACGACCATGACTTTCCGAGCTAAAATCTGCTAAAATCTGTCTTCCGACGGCGAATTTTGTGGCTTCATTCCGCCAAATTCTGGCTGCAGCATGCGAGGGAAGAGAAGGGGGATCGATTCAAGGAACGAGAGCGAGCAAATGAAGCTCTGGTTTCGAAGGCTGCAAGTGGACTCGTGACCATCCAGGCCCAGTTCAGTGCACGAGACTGACTACAGTACAGTACATTAACTGTGTCAGTGACTGCGGTTGCGACTGCGTCCCGCCGTGGAACCGACCGTGGTTATCTTATCTCCAGTTCTGTCCACTCTTGAACGTGATTACAATCGTGAGGATTCTCAAAGAATAGAAATACTCCATCACCATCGCACTATCGTTTTCTTAATCTTGGAAACAAAATAATCTGACAAATAAAATGGAATAGAATTCATAGCTACTTTCATCAATTTTCAATTCTTAGTTTCCAATATCTTAATTCTGATATCTATTTGTTAAATGTTCTATTTTCAAGAAACTTGATTTCAATTCTTTATATAATTTTACACTTACAAATCTATAAATAAAGATGCTGCCACATAAAACATGAAAATAGCATTAAGTAGAACCTCATCATTAAAAACATACGTGAACATAAATTTATCAAATAATATTTTAATATTGATTATTCAATGCTAAGTGTCAAAGAGTGTTATTTATATATGGTTGTCTAATCAAATATGAAACATAATATACATGACCAAAAAAATTAAATAAAGAATACAAATGACATTTTAAATTGACAATCTCATACACGTATTCATTTTCTTGTAAAAAATTATAATTGATGTCTTCCAATTTCTTTTAATTTCAATTTTTTTTCAATCTAACAAATTGTAGATTTCAAACAACATTAGATTTCAAGAATTTGAGTTCATGCGGTAAATATTATATATAAAACAATATTTTTCAATGTTAAAGATTTAAATTTCAGCCCTTTTATTCTTTGATTTTTGGAAACAATAAATTCACATCTGTATCATTGAACCTTTAATATTTTAATGTAGCACAAATCAAATAATTACTTCTTTACCACATGATAATTTACCACTTAAGTATGTCTCTCAATAAACAAAACAACTTCTTTGCATTCTAATGCAAAATTATTCATTTTCAATAATTTATAGTTTTAACATATAATGCAAGAAGAGAGAAAGATTAATGGATATATTAACACACATGAATCAATGATATAATGTAGATCTTTATGTTTAGAGCACTTTTCTTTAAGTACACTTCATCATATATAATTATCAAAAAAACCAATGTATATCTAATTATTTTCATATAACTCAATTTTGTAATTAATACACATTGCGTGCTGAGGATTTAATTGGAGAATGAAAGCTGTTTAATCATATATTGGATGAACGTCTAAATAACAAAATTCACGAAGAAAATAAACTTTTGAATGTAAGACAATCAATCAATTTATTCATTGAAAAATATTATGTTATATGATTCAATTTCTCAAATTATAATCCTACAATATCATAAATTCACTTTTTGTAGTTTAAGCATATTCTTTTAAAAATATCTAATTTTCTAACAAGTCAAACCTTGAAGATACTTACATATAATAAAATTTTGGTTTAGAATAATATAGTGTTAAAAAATATGTCATGCATTTTATATCACACTGAACTATGAAGATTGATTGAATTACAGATAATTTAATTAACTTTTAATGACAATCTCTAATTAAAAATACAGTAGCAGATAAAACACATAAAGTAATATATTACAAAAGTTGAAACATAAATTACCCACAATGATGTCCGGTGTTTTAATAATAAACATGGCAATAATTTTATTCATTCCCTTATATGCTTAAGCTACATAAAGAGAGAAATTTCAAGACATGACTATCTCTGTAATTAATTTTTTTAAAGCTTCTATCAAAAATTATTGCTGAAATATTGTTTGCAATTTTATTTTGAATCAATCAGGTTTGCAAATCTTGTCATTAGTTTTAACATCGACGTCAGCCGGTGGAATAAGATATGTCTATGACAAGCAGTCCAAGTAAATATTTGTTCACAATTCTTGTAGCGCGAGAGATTGAGGGAATCTTTATAAAACCGGGGATAAAATACCGTCAAGATAATTTGCGCGCCAAGTTGAGGCCATATTTAGACAAGGATAGTACTCCGAGTGGACGAATTGGGTCAAGTACCACGACATTTCTTGTAAAGAGAACGCATGTCATTTTCTGACAACTTGATATCACTGACAAACAATGAGAATGTGGATACTTTGCACAGGTTATTAGTTTTTTGTGCACTGGTGCTACTGCATATGTTGTTGTCGTGGAACAACATGGAATCTACATTTTGAACAAAACAACTGTCTTCCAGAATCGTAGAAATTCAATTGAAATGAACACTGTCGGGGATTCTGCTCGTGAGCAATGAGCTACATGATTTTCATATTTTGCACCTTCAAAAATCAACGTGGCTTCGGCTTGAGGTGAGAGTGAGAAAGTGGATCCTCTCCACATCCATACTCTCCCTCACATTTTCATAGCAGAGACTTTTCAGCTTGAACAATGGAAAGTGGTCCCGCTGCTTGGAAGGATAGTGAGTGCATGAGAAAATGATTAGGCGGTGGACACAATTGTTCTACTTAGAAGATTGCTTTTGATCGCCTTGGAAGATTGATTTTTGTTTACTGACAGCTAGCTGCGTTAGGTACCGCGGCTACCGCCATAACGTGCTTTCAACATGAAATCACCACCAGCAAGTTTTTGATTTCTTTTGCAAATCTACCCAATGAATAATCGGATTGTTATCTCTTTCGCTTTCATATGTATGCTAGTATCTCGTATCATTGTCAAAAGACAAATGGAGAAGGAGGAAATTGTTTTCGCAATTCTTCTATGCGTTCAAGGGATTGTTGAAGCAGTTGTAAAAGAATTGGGGATGTTATTTCACAATCGGGCTGCAAAACAGATTTGGCGTCGAAGAAGACACCAAAGGTTTGCATATACTTTACTCGTGGGAACATATTCAGAGCGGGAATTTGTGAGAAGATTCTGAATTCTGCAAACAACATTCAAAATTATCGTATGATTAGTAGGTCCGGAAATGAAGAAGTATGCATGAGGTGAAAGAATTGAAATTTGAGACAAGATAGCTGGTGTTCTAAATCGACTAGGGATAAGAATTTATCTCACGATGTGTGGTGATTTGTACTAAATCAGTGAAGGGCTTGCTTCTATTATTGTAAGAGAATTATGTGCGATATTTGTACGAATATGAATTATGATGTGTGTGGATAAGTGGACTGCAAGTAGTATTAAAGAGGTTTCCAATTGATTTGAAAAAAATCATGTAATTCCAAATATTATGGGGTGCTATAGATTGAAGTCATATAGCAATAATTGCTCCACCTCAAGACAAGGAATTATTTGACAACAGGAAAATATTACATTCATGCCTTCTGCATAGGGTTGTTAATCCGGAGTGTGTATTTTGGGATTTTGATTTTGGTTGGACATGTTCTCAACATGATTATACTATCTTCAAAAAATCTGCAATAGGGAGACGAGTAATGGAAGTCAGGTATTTTACTTACAAATTAATTGGAGATGCAGCTTATACTTTGAGGCCATACATGTATGTTCCTTACAAGGGAATCAATGAGGGCCTGGAATGGTGGAAAATTCATTGGAATTTTGTGCAGTCGTGTACACAAATGTGTGTGAAACGGACGTTTGATTTACTAAAAGGTTGGTGAAGAATTCTTCTCCGCCAGATCAAAATGTCATTACGACAAACTGTAGATATCGTCGTTGCGTGCATTTTATTACACAGTTTGTGTATAATGCACAAAGATTGGGTCGATTGAAATCTGCATTTAGAAGCAGCGGACTGTCTACAACAAGATCGGGTTGGTCGATATGGACAATTGAGGAGTGAGTCAATTCAAAGTATTGCAGATTATGGAAGTCAACAACTACATGTTGTTAGCGATGGTAACCGAAATGCACAAATGATAATCGAAATTTCAGTACAGAATGATGAGGAGGAGATCGAGTATTTTCTTGATGTCACTATGGGAGAGTAGCCAAATATTCATTTGTTAAGAAAAAATATAAATATGCATGACGTATTAGCTAAAGTTTTGTTTATAAAGCATGTCATGCGAAGCACATGAGAACATGATATTTATTGGGATTTAGACGATAATGTTTGTTAGAATAAAACCATGTATCACAATTTGTCCAAGTTTTGTTGGCTGAGGACAATATCCATCGTCGCTTATGAATAAGTACTTGTTCTTTGTGAGTTTTTACTTATCGGGTACATACACTGATACTTAGGCCACCACCTGTTTGATTGAGTTCCATCTGCTTAAAATGTGTTCTACCAGTAGGATGTTGCGTTGGGTGCAAACACTGCAGGTGGATGGGATGCACTGAAATGGAATACACAGAAACGAGTACGTATGGTCTGATTAGATCGTCTGAGGTACCAAGAATGAGTGCACGCTTTACATTCTTACCGAAAGTTATTTTGGAATATGAGTTGATCGGCACTGCAGAAGACTTGCAAAATGAATGAACTTAGAGCAAAACAGATACCGAAAAGTGAAAATTGTGTTCGCTCATTAGTACGTTAAGAGAATGAAGGACGGAATGCGGAGTGCAATATGAATATCAAGAACTGTGCGAAAGCATGGCGTGAAAAACAATTTTCAATTCAGCTTCGTGAAAAGACACTCCTCCATTGTGACTGTGAACTTTCACGTTTAGTTTTCTATGTAATGGATCTTCTCTAGACTTCAGGTTACATTTGCACCTTCTATTCACATCGGAAATCGTAAAACCTACGACGATGAAAAGCCCAAGTTGGATCTATAAAGTCAATTCTCTCTCTGAAAACTAAATACAATTAATCATATTGGAAGAAACTGAGCAAAAATTTTAAAAACTACGTATAATGAATAATCTGTACATAAACTATAACTCGTCTCAGAAAGACAACACATCAAAATTCGTTTGTCTTTGACTTCATCACATCACATATAATGTAAAACTCTATTGCTACATAAAGGAAAAATAAGAGTTTAAAGTTCTATGTCGTCAATCAGCACTTGGATACCCGTTCACAA